GTTTCGACTGACTCTTGTCGAAGACCACACTCGTTGTTGAGATCACCCCGAACGACCGAACGAATAATTACGCTCGCTTTCTTTTCTGAGCCGGCAAAAAGAAACGGGGACGTTGAACATCAGCACTTGAGAAGTCTACAGGCTATCGATTATCGGGCTGTGGCGTCAGACACCTGCAACCCAGCCACTCGGAAGCGACAGATTCTGTGTAAGCCTGCTCTCCAGTCCGCGACGTCTTCGCAATCACATCAGCCCATTGCGCTTTACGTTCTTTTTCTTGTACACAATTTACGGCCTTGATTCTAGTCATGACGATCTGCTAACACGCTTGTCGCAGTTTCTGTTCTTCTTCGCTGAGAATCCACCTTCGCTTTCGTTCCGCACGTCGATTCCACCACGATGCGTTCCTTCTGCCAGCTGGCCGTTTTGGCCCTGCCATTGTTCAGCACCGCTGTTGCTGCTTCACCAAACAAGCGAGACGACCACCCAAAGACCATCTACGCGACTGCACAGGAAGCGTTCCAGGACCTGTTGAACGCGCTGCCAGAGGAATCTCTACAAGCAGCACTGAGCGGACTGAAGGACTTCAAGAATGGCGTGTTTGAGTCGCACCACCGCGGCGTCGAACATGTCCACGAGAACAACCCAGCGCTCGCTACAAAGCTCATTGTCGACGCTGTCAACGACTTGAAGAAGAGACAGGCGCCGGGCAATGGCACGGCTTCCGCCACTGAGGCTTCAACTCCACAGCAGACAACCGAGGATGCGCCTTCATCACAGGCGAGCGAGGCTCCTCCACCAGCAGTCGAGACCACCGTAACGCAGGTCCAGACGCAACAAGGCACCACAGTCACCCAAGTACAAACCCAAACACAGCAGCAGACTCAACAGACCCAACAAACTCAACAAACCGAGCAGCCTCAACAGTCTCAGCAACCCTCCGACGACGCACCCCCCTCAACTGTCACCAACACCCAACAACAAACCACCACCCAACAAGCCACCACCACCGTCCGCCAAACCACCACCCAACGCCCCGCCATCATCCCCGTCGAAGCCACCATAACCGAAGACGGCACAACCGTCGTCCGCACCACGCGCGTCCTCTCCGAAGTAACCGCCTCCGTCCCCGTAACCCTCGTCCGCACAAACTCCGCCGGCAGCACCGTCACCCAAACCGAGAACCGACCCGCCGTCATCCGCACAACCACCGATTCCGCAGGCCGCACAACGGTCACCACGTCTGCGGCTGACTACGCGCCTACCGCCGGTGAGGTGCAGACTGCGACGGATGAGGCGGGAAGCACGTTTTTGACTACGTACACGCCTGGTGGCGGGCTCGTTAGCAGCATCAAGTTGATTACGACGACGGATGCCGAGGGGCGGCCGAGCACGATGACGAGTTATACGTTTGTGGATCCGATTCAGGCGACGCAGGCGAGTGGGGGTGATGGTGGGGATTCGACTGAGCAGCCGAGTGTGCAGACGGGTGCTGCGGGTGTGAAGGGCGTGCCGTTTGCTGGTGCTGTGGGCTTGGGCGCTATGGCTTTGTTCTTTTAGATCAAGGTCAGTCAAGCAAGCCATATGGCCTTTTTCCGTCTTGTCAGCATGATGGTTAGGATGGAGGGAGGAAAAGGAAGATGAAGATGGAAAAGAGGGTATATATAACGAGAAACACGACTGCTTCGCATTTTCAGGCTTTTTTTTACTACTTCGTTTGTATATTAGCGACGTCGCTCCTTTTTCGTTGGCATTGGTTTTTTCAGATACCCGATACACGCTCCTTTACGATTTATATACGGTGGATGGGTTTGCAGATTGGATTTGTAGTTGGAAAGGGAGGTTGAATGTGCATATACGGTGTTGGTGTTTGGTGGGATGGGCGATCGGGTTAATACTTTAGCATACATACATGGAGCGGATTGTTGCTCTTTACTATCCTTCGGTATATATAATACGACAGTACAGATTTTGACAAGATAACTTGCATTAGACTGAATGCCGTGAGTGATGCAACAGACGTAGAGCGGCATATTTGAGAGCTATGGCAGAGTGTCTACGGCGTGAGATGTATGAATCGAAAGGTATGGAATGAATACATGTTTATAGATTCTGCATCTGAAATAGCTACAGAAAGAGAATATAGATCAAGGGGTATTGATGTTAAATCAAACGCCAAGTGTGCCATGCTCAAGTAACTATCCCACCTTGTTCGATCACGCGCCCTACGCTTCTGCCGTCCAACTCTAGTTTGAAAATCCAGGAAACATTTCCAGAAACCATGTCCTCCCATCACCTTATATATGATACAAACTCACCAACCATCTCCCCTCAAATCCCAGCCCGCCTCTCAACGCGCCTTGGTAGCAATAAAATACTCCACACTCTCCCCCGCCCAACTAACGCTATTCGTCCCACTCTCAAACCTCTCCTCATCAAAAAGCCCAGCAATACTCTGTTCGTTCCTAACCCCCTGTTTCGCACCACCACCAAAACTCTCCAGACTAACGACTTTACAGCCCTGTTTGAGGTCGAGAAACTTCTGCAACAGCAGATTATTCAACGTCTCGCCAAACACCTTGTTGTTGACCAGCACAACGTCAGCGCGGCGGAGGACAGCGTCGATGTCAGGGCTTTCGAGGAAATCACCTTCGATGAGCTCGATGCGGGGGAGGGCTATGTTCCACAGCTTCGCCCGCGCTTTGAGTTCAGAGGCTTGTTCTGTGCCGAGGGAGGCGGCGAGCTTCATCTTTTCGATGCCCCAGCTCTCGGCGCCGGTTTGGAGGGCGGACTGGAGGACGACGTTGCCGACGCCGGAGCCGAGGTCGACGAAGGTGTGAGTGGAGTTTAGGCCGGTTTGGGCGAAGATTTTGTGGACGAAGGGGGTGAGGAGTTCGCCGTAGGTTGTTTCTTTGCCTTCGACTTTGCGGAGGCGGTGGGCGTGCGGGGAGACGATGCGGTTGTAGCTTTGGGCGGTGATGCGTTTGACGAGGCTGAGGGGGATGGCGTGCATGTCGTCGAGGATGCGGGGTATCGTGCCGTTGGCGTATTGGTCTTTGATGAGCTTGTTGAACTTGGCGAGTTCTTGCTTGAAGAGTTCGGGGTCGTCTTTGGTTACAGCGCGCTTGAGGAGACGGACGGTGCCTTCGGCGTCGGAGGAGAGCTCGTTGGCGAGATCGGGCGGGAGGTAGTGCTGGATAATTTCCTCTATGCTGAAGTAGATGTCTTCCAGTGGGCTGTACTCCTCGTCCACCTCTTTCCGGGCTACTGCCTCGAACTTTTCTGGTCGTGACAGGCTGGGGTACTGGAGTTCGACGGTGAACTTCTTCTCGCTACCGGGGAATGCGGACTTGTAGGCTTTCGCCCCATCGTCTTTTGTCATCTCGAAGCCGTGCTTCAGAGTGCTCTTCCCCGACACAGCCTTTTTCTTTCTGAATGCGGCGTTTTCTTGCGCCATCTTCATCATATCCGACGCGCCATTTGATGTGCCATTCGCAGTCCCATTCGATGTGCCGTTGACACCATTCGATTTCGCCTTGGCATCAGGCTCTACTATCCGTATACGTCGCTTCAAGTCCGGCTCGAGCGCGCGGTTCAGACTCATCGGCTCAGTGCTACTACTCGCTGGCCGTGTCTTCCGTCGCTTGACGCCCAGCCGACTGGTATCCTCATCCTCGCTCGACTCATCGCTGCTAGCCCATTGCGGCGTGTCGGTGCCTTTACGCTTGTTGGTCTCGACACGCGACACGGAAACCGACTTGCGCGCGGGTTCCCGCGAGACTGTTTGCGAACGCGGCGTGGACTGGTATCGGTTCGCTGGCGGGCCGGATGCGCTGTAGCTGCGAGTGCCGTTGCCGGGTCTCGCGTGCGGCGATGGTGAGGGGTTCGCTGTGGGGGCGGGCGCCTTCTTGACGAGGACGGTTCTCGTTTTGATCTTGGGTTTTCCGGGGACGAACATGACGGCAGCGCCAAGTTAAAGTTTCTAGGTGAAAGCAGGGTTGTATGCAGAAGAAAAAACGGGCATGAAACGCGGCGGGCCGGTGCAGATGTGAAGGAGCGTGTGGCCAAGGGCAGCCGCGAGTGAAAAGAGAAGGACGTCGAAGGGAAGGCAGCAGGCCGGTCAGCCAATACGGGAGGAGTCGCACGCGCAATGGACGAGATACGTGACCCAGCGACGCCCCAAGCCTGTACGCCACTGCACGTCTTACCGGGATCGTCTCGCCTATCCGTCTTGGCACCTGTCCCTGCTTCTGTCTACCGACCTCACCACGCCAAGTGTCACCAAAAGGCCCTTCTATCAGACCTCGTCAATCTCTGGATAGTCAATTAGATGGCCAGCTTCAATGACTGCGATGTTTCACTCAAATCCCGCCTTAGCACAGCCCACGCCACCATGATTCAACAGATTGTTCGGTGACATCTGACTCTAGGTGATCAATACCGCCAGCTTGGTGTACTAAAGTCGTATCACACGACCCTCCTATTCACCTAGCACATGGAAGTCTTCTGTATGAAGATCATGAGTTATCCGCAGCGTAGTCTTCAATATGTAGAATGTCAGTTAGCCAACTAGGCCTTCTGTCTCCGTGCCAGCCCTTCACAGCAGTTCTATGCATGAGGTAAAAGTTCAGTCCTACCGCAATCCCTCTACAACCTTATCCATTGCGCCATTGCTCATTTTTGTTCTGGAAGTTTTCTTGTTACCTTGCTATTGTTGTCTGTTGTTCTTGAACAAAAGTCGATCATCGGAAGAGTCGAAAGCAGCTCCTCCTCTGATGCGTACAGTCACTGGTGAGCTGGTGGTATGTGGTGATAAATCAAACATCCCAGAAGTCAGCCGAGGGGCCTTGACAGAGAATCATTGGGACCATGCCTTCGACCCCGAAGACGCGATTCCAACCGGTACCTTCACGTTGGGTTTACTGGCAGATGCATCGATCGCACTCCGAAGAGAAGGCAGTGCACTAGAGATAGTGGACGAAGACTCATGCTCAGAGTCCATGGGTTCCACCCCGCGAGCACGACGCCACGCCCTAGACCCCAGCACCTCATCGTCCGTCAGAGCCTTCCTCGTGCCCCAGTCAGACTCCCGCATCCCCCACGGCCCAGCCAACCAACCTCCAACCGACAAACTCCTCAAAACCGTCCCTACATCCCTCCGCAACCGCGCTAAATCGCTCCATGAACCGCATCCCCTCCCCTTCCGCTGGACCCTGCCACCCAACGCGCGCTTCCGCATCGGCGATCCGGAAGCCTTCGCTGCTTTGCAAGTCAAGAATATAGAATGGTATGTAACCACCGGTCTACTAGTTGAAGATTTCACGGGTCTACGCTGGAACGCAGGGAGCTACACGTATCTTCTGTATTGGCATGTAGAAGGCATGCCTACGCCCGATGGTGTTGCGGATGCAGGTAGGAAGTGGTTGAGTATCAACCCGGGTTTCATGCGGGATTGGCAGAAGGAGAAGTGGGAGAGGGAATTTGGGGATGAGGTTCTAGTTGTGGAAGATGAGCCTGCGACGCCGATTGTTGAGCGAGAAGATTCGGGTTTGATTGATCATCCCATTCCTGTTGTTACGGTGGGTAATCGGCCGCCTACACCGAGTCGAGAGAGGTGTCTTCTTCCGGGGTCGAAAAGCGCACTGAGGAGTAGCTGTCAGAGTAGGCCGGTGTCCCCTTCGCCATCCCTGGTCTCTGATACTGGGTCTGAGTCGCCGAGGAGAGATAAAAAGGTAAGATTGCTGAGGGAGAAGCGGAAGAGGATTGTGATGTGGGAAGCTGATGATGATGAGGATGTGCCGGTGGCAGAGGAAGGTAAGTTTGTTGAGACGATGGTGGATGAGGTGGACACTCTGAGTGATAATGAGGGGAGGACGGCGAGGAATTGGGGGTGAGATGAGGAGCGTAGGAGGAGGAAGATGGATTTCCTTGGATGTATGACCAAAAGCACTAATTGCAGTAATACCGTCGATATTCGCTGCCACTGGATCACACATGGAACATGATAGTGTTGAACACAGGCTCGCCGTTGAGCGAGAGCATTTCGCAACCCCATGTATCTTGGCAGTAGCCTATCTCCAAGGCACACTCTGCACACGTGCTGCAAGTCGCACATTAAATGCCTACTAATAATCATACATCCTAGAAGAAAACCCTCCCAACCGATCAGCGACGTCGGTCCCGGCTACGGCTCCGAGAAGTGCGACTCCTCCGCCTACGTCTATCCCTATCATCACGACCCCTATCTCTGCTGCGCTCGCGACTCCTCTCCCTAGGCTTGCGATCGCGCTCCCGATCTTTATCCTCGGCCTCAGCAGCGGGAGCACCGCCAGGTTGGTAGCAGTCAGACTCCAAACGCCTACTACCACGGTCTCTACCGCCATCCCAGCGGTCATAGTCTCGAGCCCTGTAGCCACGCGCACGATCACGGCTATCATCACGCTTGCGAGGCCGACTATCATCGCGCTTGCGGTCACGGCTGTCTTCGCGCTTCCGAGCACTGCCATTTCCAGCACCTCCACCGCCACCGGGTACATAACGGTCGATGTTCTCGGGGCTTCTGGAGCGACGGCGGCGCCCAGATGCAGGGGATCTCTCGCGCTCACGACGGCCGCCTCGTGAGCGGGAACGTTCTCTATCTCTGCGACGCTCCTCTCGAGGTGGCGACGGGCTGCGCGTTTCATAGCGTGACTTGCGGCGGCTGGTGTGAGTCTCTCGTGAGCGGCTGCGACTCTCGCGGCGGGACGGCTTCTCATCTCGGTCGTCGCGATCGCGTCGTCTACCGTCATTTGAGGGCCGGTAGGAGTGTCTATCATCGTCACGTCGAGAGCGGCGGTCGTCGTCGAAGCGCGAGCCACGCCTGTCGTACCGACTTCCGCGAGATTGCGATCGGTTTCTGCTACGCTCCCTCGTGCTGCGCGCGACACTGGGGGACCTGCCGCGCTTTGAAGGCAACTCAGGTCGCTTGCCATCCCATCGGCCCTTGTCAGCCTCTGTTGCGGATGGGGCATCGGTCATAGTGGTGTCTTCATCCTTCGCAGCCGCATTTGGCGTACCTGGAGCGGGGGACTTTGCGTCTTTGCTGGGTGACCTTTCAGGTCTGCTGTCAAGCCTGTCCAGCCGAGCCTTCACGGGATCGCGGGGAACAAGCGACTTGGGAGGCTGAGCTTTTCGCATAGGTGGTTCCAGTGATTCTGATCGCGGAAGCAGAGGCCTCCGTTGTCGTGAATTCTTCATCTGCTCACTTTCCTGTAGCAGGAGCGCCAATGCCGTCTCATCGTCAACTTTGATGTCTTCAGGCTTGATCGACAGACGGCGTTCAGGCGACCTGGTCTTTGACCTGCTCCTTCGCCTGCTCCTGTCTCGTCCACGCCGGTCCCTTTCACGATCGGGAGTCCTGCTACGGCCACGACCGCTGCGATGGCGACCGCCGCGATCTCGGTCATGCTCCTCTTGTAGGCGGCGCTCTCGCTCAGCGTCTTCTTCGCGGATCTTCTTGAGACGGGCTTCTCGGCTCTTCTCATGCTCCTCTCGCTCCTTCTCGCGGCGTAGACGCTCCTCTTCTCTCTCCTTGTCGATTCTCTCTCGGTCCTTGCGTCGGCGCTCTTCGTCTTCTTTGTCGCGCTCTTCACGCTCTTTGCGCCTGCGCTCCTTCTCCTCTTGTCGCGCCTTCTCACGGGCTTCGTCCTCTTCCTTCTCGCGGCGCTTGCGCTCTTCCTTCTTTGCCCTCTCCTCACGTTCTCTCTCGCGCTCTGCCTCTAGCTCCTTTTCTCTCCGGGCCTCACGCTTCTCTCGACGAGCGTCTGCTTCCTTGGCCCATTCCTCTTCGCTCTTACTGCCTCGCATCTCCTCTTCAGCAGCCGCCTCAGCGCCTATTTCGGCAATGCGGTACTCGCGCATTTTCGGTACGCCATGCTCATCAATCAGTTTGTCCAGCAGGGTGTTGACCGTGTTCATAATGTTGCCGTAGATGTCGCTGCGCTCACCCGCGCCTTCTATAAGTGTAGTCGCCATTCGGGGATCCTTGGACAGCAGCGAGGGATTTCGGTCGGTTTCGCGGTCGACGAGCTCCTTGAGAGCGGCTTGCAGTTCATCCTTAGCAGGCTGGCACGCGAAGGTTAGCCTGGCATATAGTAATAATCAATCGTTGGCCACCTACTCCTGACACATATTGCTTCATCAAGTCTCTGCGTATGTCGTCGTATGCGCCCTTCTTACGGAACATGTGCACCAGGCTGTCGATGGCCGATCGCTTCGCCTGTGAGAGCGGCAGTTCCGATGGCCTCAACTTTTTGCGCATAGTCGCAGCTCCATCGCTTTCACTTGGGCGCTTGCGGCCGACTTCTGCCATGGTTGATTTTACGTGATTGCGATCAGTCGTTTTGTGTCGTTTGTGTTGCGGCCCGGCGCATCAAGACGGGGGTGGGAAAGGCTGGCGAGCAGCGAATGACGTAGGGGCCTAGGCTGGTGCGCCAGCTCAAAATGGCAATAGTGAATGTATTGAAGAGCGAAAGCTAAAAAGTGAGCGACAGTATCAGGAGAGGCGCGAAGGCGGCATTGTCGCGGAGGTGAGGTCGGCGGACCTTGGTTCCGCATCCGCGTGGGTGGTTCGTTCTTGGCGTTCCGGAGCTTGACGATGGAGCATCGCAGCCCAGAAACCCAGGACTGGTACAGCGGTGACAACGCGCCCTCACGACACCCGCCCCGATTGCTGCTGCAGCACAGAAGGAGTCTTCCACACCGACACAACTACCACGACTACACCCGCTCACCATGGTCCACAAGATCCTCTTCTGGAGCGGCTTCGGTACGTCCCCAACCGCCCGCGCATACCCCAAAGGCCTCTACTGACGACATACACCAGGCGTTGCCGCCCGGCTATGGCAACTCGGCATTGAGATGCGCCCGCTCTTCAACAAGGAATCCCTCTGGGTTTACCCCCTCTACGCCGGCGCCGGTGGCAGCTTCGGCTACTGGCTCACTGGCGTTGAGAACCGACAATTCCGCCTCCTAGCCGACCGACGAGACGCTCTACTCGAGAAGCGGGCGCGGAGGAAGGAGCGAGAGCAGGCCGCTGGTACCTCTTAGGCGGCCGTGGCCTGCAATGGCAAGAGACAGTGGTGTGAGGGGTAGGGGAAGCTGGGACTAGGCATCGCACGCACGGCCAGAGCGTCATCTCAACTACAATGGGACTGAGACTATCATGCGCTACTTCCAGCGCCCATGATGAGCGTATATGGGCATGCAATATGAGCGGGGTTGAATGCGTTGAGAGCAGCCTTCTACCACATCCTGGCTGGCAACTCATTCTGTACAAATTTCATTTCAAACCAACTACAAATGCAAAATCTCGATCAAACACCTATGCCAAATTGTGCTCAAAATGCGAGATATTGCCTAGTCGCGTAACGCGTGACACCCTAATGGATTAGTGCATGACTCCTGCCTCTGCTATTCTGAGCTCATGGAAGGGCATCCACCTTTGCGAACACCCTGTCAACATCACCATGACTTGATAAACCCGCGCCACGACCCATGTGGTCAACCATCATTGCACGCATCTCGTCATGTCTGCCGAGAACTTCCTTTCGCCTAACGGCGACCACGCAACGCCGTCTTCGCCGATGTCCAACGGCAACCTCAAAAGCAAAGGCATCGTTGTGTTCTCAGGCGGAAGCGCTGCGAACAATCTAGTCGACGTGTTCAAGAAAGTCAGAGAAGACAAAAGATGCCCGCTGAGCTATGTCATCCCTATCAGTGATAACGGCGGCAGCTCGTCTGAGCTGATACGCGTCTTCGGAGGTCCAGGTATGCGCCGTCTGAGGCAGGAACGACACAACGTTGACGTTTGCAGGTATCGGTGATGTGAGAAGTACGCGAATGTTCTTCGAGAACAATGATGTAGATGTTGACTTTTCTAGGTCGTCTTGTCCGCCTAATCCCGGATGACCCCGATCACGATGACAGCGAGAAAGCAGCTATCAAGACCTTCTTCAACCACAGATTGCCCAAAGAACGGTCTTCAGCCCGAGATGAATGGCTGCAGATCGTAGAGGCTGAGCATGCACTCTGGACGAATATCTCGACGTCGAAGAAAGAACTCATACGATCGATACTCAATGTTGTCGCATACGAGATCGTCAAGCGTCGCCGGCCATCATCGAGTTTTGACTTCTCAGGTGCAAGTATCGGTAACTTGTTTCTCACTGGGTATGTAATTGATCCACTACAGCATTGTGCTTTTTCCCATCCATATTATCCACAATCCTGATTTCAATGTCTCTGTCACGTTTACCATCGCGCATCCTCTTCAGCGCACCTACCCGCATCAAACTCCTCGAAGCTGACACTCACAGCGCTCGACTCTTCACTGGTTCATTTGAGTCAGCCATCTACCTACTCTCCAGCATCTGTTCTGTGCCTAGTCACACGTCAGTCTTACCTGCGATCAACACCAACTTCACGCACCACATCTCAGTCAGCCTCGCAAACGGCGACACCATCACCGGCCAGAACTCCATCTCACACCCTTCCATATCCACAGCCTTGGTATCGGGAGGTGCACCAATAATCGATGAGACCGAACAGCACGATCGAATCGAGGATGCCAATTTACCCGGATCTTTACCGACTCTTCGAAAGCAGTACATCACCTTCTCCAAAGCGGATGAAGAGGAGTTGCCCGCCAGGATCGAAAGGCTTTGGTATATCAACCCCTACGGCCAAGAGATCCGACTTTCCGCGAACCCAACGGTGCTCAATGCATTGAACGACGCGCAGGCCGTGATATACAGCATCGGCTCGCTCTACACATCCATCATCCCTTCATTGGTTCTCAAAGGTATCGGCGAAGCCATCAGCAACCCCGCAATTCGCTACAAGATCCTCATCCTCAACTCGACCATCGATCGCGAGACCGGACCGTCATCCAACCCATACTCTGCCCTTGACTTCATAGCTGCCATCGCGAAAGCATGTGAAGACTCCAAGAGCGTATTTGGGCCACTGGATAAGAGTCAATACAAGAAGTATGTGACGCACATCATACATCTCCAAGGGCCAGGCACTCCAGCGGTCGATCGAGACGAGCTTAAGAGTATTGGCATTGAACCAATTCGTGTCTATGGAAAGAAACATGAGGGCGAGAACTTTGTTAGGTATGATGGTACGGCTTTGATCCAAGCGCTTGAGGTTACGATGGGGAAGAGGGATCCGAGGATGCCTAGTCGACGGAATACGTTAGAGGGGCCGGCGAGGTGAACGAGGATGCGGAATACTTTTGGCAGTCGCGCGTTAATCCGCAGAAATACTCGGTCGACTAATCGTTTCCGACAGCTTGAGTGGGTGCCTGGTGGTCTTTGTTGGTTTTATATGTGCCAAGCAGGTATCTCTACATCAAGCGCAGATCTTACTCTTTCGGGACGCCCCTTCATCCCGTCTCTCTGTCCTGCCACTCCGACTGACCTATGATGCATCGCAATCTACACGGCTATAGTTTGCTCGCAATGTTAGGGACGCGAAAGCTCCCATTGAAAGCGCATATATCTGGTTGCTGGCCCCATAACCTTCACCAGCTTTCTCATAATGCAGACTTCAACAACTCCATCACCAGCAAACTGTCATGGGCTCCATGTTTTCATCAATCAACTCATCCAAACCTTCGAAAACAGACTCTAAGCCTCCTTATGATGGCCCGAATCGATACCCGTATGTGCGTAACGGCCAGCTTGTCCCCGTCGAAGCGAATCCCACCATTTGGTACGAACGCTTGTTTGAGGTTGCAGACTGTGTACAACACCAAGACAAGGACAAAGTCATCATATTCACCCCCATCTGCGATGAAGACAACGGCTTTTATCCAGACCCCAGATCGAGGCATGGCTGGCCCATCAAGCGCTTGCGAAAGGCGTACGAGCTGCTCGGTGGACCACACCCGCGCATCGTTCGGTACGTATGATTCTGCCCGTGTACTTGGCCGCGCTCAATTTTTTAGGTATATCGGCGCGCTGTACAGCACTTCAGGTGATGGCGTAGTCGTTGAAAGACTGGTGCCAGGCCAACTCAAGAGGTGCGAGGTGCCTGCGATGACAGTGCCTGTAGCAGCGCAAACGATGTCGCACGACGATAATATTATGTTATCGCTGTATTACCGATGGGCAATACAAGCACTCTCCGCCTTCCAGTTCATGCATGCTAGATCCATGGTCATTGGGTTCTTCTCATCGCAACTCGTGTGGATACGCCCGGACTTCTCGCTCGCAGTGGGTGGATTCATCAGCGCTAGTGCACAGGAGATAGAGGATGAGCTCCATAAAGATGCTGAAGAAGACACTAAAGCGGCCCGACGAGAGCATGACTTGATGTTTGGAAATGTGCCAGAGATAGAGAACAGCCCTAGCTGCGGTTGGAGCGAGGGTGAGTGGGCAGCGGACGACATGATATATGATATGGTACATGGTGAGGATTCTTTTGATGAAAGTTACTACACAGGAGGTGTACAAGGGAGTGTAAAGGCAGACCTGTGAGTATGCGCGAACCACGGTGTACGCACAAAAGATTACTGATTCTTATCTTCACACTCTAGCTTCTACTGGGCTACATTCGTCTGGCGACTCATGACGAACGACTTCACTGCTGTGTCGCCATCGCATCGTGGGCCTTTTCGTGGGCTATGGGAGCCTGCATGGCCCATGGAAGGAGGCTATAAAATCGAAGACTCGCCAAATATATCCAACATTATCGATGAGAGAGAACGGCGCAAACTTTTCCAGCAGCTAGAGAGAGCTAGATTGGGACATGTCCTGGTCGGCGCTTGGAATAATCGATATGGCAGCGTGGATGAGGTCGTTCGTGATATCGAGTTGGCGGCAGCTGAGGTGGGCATAACCATCTCTGGCGACGAGGTTGACATTGGTGAGAAGTGGGAGGATGTTTTCGAGTTCAAGGACGGGAAGCTGAGTTTCAAAGTTAGATCTGATTAGGACAAGCTTGATGGGGCTGCCAAGCAGGTATCATTGGCACGGTTCACGAGGCGCGATGGCGCTTGCCTCAAACGGCAACACCTGGGTCAGTGTATATAGTACGCAATGTATCGCGATTTGTGACTTTTAGCATCCTTTCTCGCTGCCTCATGGGTTCGGCAACTTCATATCTTAACGGGCCGCAGCCTCAAGACGAAGAGCGAACGATTGCAACGCAGTCGCCATTCTATCCCCCCGAAGCCAGCATAGAGCTAGAAGACACGAGAAGATGGTACTGTGATTTCTGGCAACATGCATGCGCAGTACCTCACAAAGATGGGAAGAGCATCATCATCTACGAACCGAAAGATGACGATACCAGGGCTAGACCAGAATGGGGGATCAAGCGGCTACGGAAAGCTTATGAGCTGCTTGGCGAAGGGCATCCAAGGATTGTTCGGTATGTGAAGTGCTGAGTTTTACTGTGATGACGTTAACGCGATGGTAGGCGTACCGGCCTTGTGTATAGCGACGCCGGTAACGGAGTAATCGTCGAAAGACTTGAACCAGGACCCCACTGGGGTGATCTTCCTGCCATGACTGTGCCTGTTCCAATAGAGCCTTCAAGAGAGGACCGCATCATGCTGGCCCTGTACTATCGGTGGGCCTTACAGTCGCTATCCGCCATCAGCTACCTCCACTCTCGCTCTATATACCTGACGTTCTTCTCGTCTACCAATGTGTGGTTGCGGCGCGATTACTCACTGGCTATCTCAGGTTTCATCAGCATTGATGGCCCAGAGCTTGATGCCGATAGTAGACGAGAGGCTTGGAGAAAGGAGAAGCGGTACGAGAGACGAGAGCGAAGAGTCCGGGAATGGCGCGCTGCGGGGGCTCCAATCTCAGAATATCCTAGTGACGAGAGTGAGAGCGAGAGCGAAGACGGGAGCGAAGATATCCCGGAAGACTTTTCCGGTGGTTGGGATACTTGTGAATGGGCGGGAGATGGCGGCACTATATACTACGACGACTATCCCACGGAGTTTCCTCGAACGTGTGGAAGTCATCGTGAGTCCTTGTGAGTAATCAGCATTTTCGCATACGTCAAGACTTATGTGCGGCGGTTTGCTGACTACACAATTCCGACACAGATTCTACTGGGCGACCTTTGTCTGGGAACTTATGACAAATACTCACACGGCCGAAGCGCACTGTAAACGGGGTATAGATTGGGACCCGTTCTCTTCGCCTGACGGCGGCCCACCAAAGCCAGCAAATGACTGGCGTGATCAGCTCCAAGTGTTAGAAGAGGCTAGGCTTGGAAGTGTTTTGCTCAAAGCCTGGAAGAGCGAGTACGAAAGCGCAGAGCAGGCTGCCGAAGATGTCAGAAAGATTGCGGAGAAGATGGGTATCAAGATCGTCAGCAGTGCGTCGGAAGTCGATGACGCTTGGGCGAACGTGTCCCAGCAGGATGAAGTTGATATCGGCGAGCCTTGGGAGGACGTTTTCGAACTAGACGAAGCCAAAGAGAGGTGGGGCGCTCGAACGCTTAGGTTCAAGCGGCAAGGCACACATGTGAATTTGCCTGTGGCAGGATAGAAGGCAAGACTAGGGCCATAAGCCGGTCATGCTTGTCGTTACGTATCGGGCGCGCACTTTATCCAGTATGCATCGTGTTCGAAGACCCCGTTCTGAGGCGAGAAATATCCGTATCCTCCTCGCTCGTGGTCCTTCAGTACCCTTCATGCATGATTTGCAAGCGAGGCAGGCAGTTGTTGGCGACACGTAAACGAACCAGACTGCCATCGTAACGTTCTGAGGCTCTGCGACGCTGGTTATGTGACACACCATGACACCCCCGCGCATGCATTGCATATCGCCCGACAGATCAAATTATCAAGAAACCTGTCTCCGGCTGCTGGAAGGTCATCCCAACATGCTCTCATCGGATCGTCTAGTGTTGATCGCAAGCTGTCAGTCACTGCTTCGGAGTGTGTAACCGAAAGCGTGATTAAGATCGTCCTGTAATGCCACGCCATCTTGCCTCTGCCGCGGCCTGCCGGATGTGAGAGCTTGGCTGTCGAAGGATCAGTCTGGCGGTCAAGGCAACGATACCGAGTTGGCGGGATGCTGCGTTCGTGCGGGGTGGGTAGGCAAGCCGTGATGCTCGCCCGTGTCTCAGATATGTACGTACCCGCAGATCGTACCAGCGAGATGCCGAGCCTCTCAAGTGCCGTGTGGCTCGGAGAGTAGTTTCATACCAATCATGATGTTCCGTGCTTTCGGTGCGCTTCAATCTGTTCTTCAGCAGATTTGTCGGTGTCAAGCCTGGTACAGGATTGCATCCTAGCTCAGGTGGCTGTTTGCGGGCGCATGATTGCTCAATGGAAGTCACTTGTGTAACTACTGGCTCGGCCCGGAAACATGATCATGCTCCTCAAAACGCGAAGAGATGATTTAAGCCGACATATCCGGTCCGAGACTGATATGGAGAATCTTCATGATAGATGTGCATGAGCGAGGGCGTGTCTGCGTCCGGTGAGCGAAGATCATGGAGCTCAACGATGTTGTATATCTATGGCGGCTACTCGTAAGAGCGGCATTCGCTCTCACCTATTAGAACCGATTCTGGAACACGGTTGTGGTGTTGCAACCCAGACGTGCATAAGGCTGCGTGTCAAAGATGTCATCCAGCCGCGTATATGCATGTCATGCGCCGTGGATCCGGTGTGTTCGATAGGCTTCCAAAAGCGATCAAGTCCGCGAGCTTCCGGCAAGAAGGACATTGGTTGGATAGAGAGCTGAAGATTGGAGGGCGGCACGAGGTGCATGGAAGGGCGTCGAACTGCAGTAAACAGGTCGACAGCAACGCGATGTGCAGTAGTAGATCGACGCTGCGCGAACGCGCGCTGAGCCGCACCGAAGAACGGTCTGAATTCCCTGTTGGAGTGTAGGTGGATTAACATCGGATGGAAAGATCGAATCGCACTGCGATACACCAAAGGGCGATGTACCAGAATGTTTGACATACGACACGCCCAGCAGTGATGCAAGCGGGGCTGAGTGGTATAAGTGCAGACACAGATAAGGGGTCGACATGCGTATCACCAGGTACAACTACCAGTGACCGAAAGACTTCGGTGTAACCAGCGGGTTCTTACCTCGACTTGCGGGTGGTGATTGGATGCGTTGACGGAGCGAAACGAAGGGCAAGCAGGCGGGTTGGACGTCAGCAGGACGCTGGCTCAGCCATCGATACTCGTTACTCAAAGAAGGGGTCCTCATTTTTCCCGTTCACCTCGCGATGGTGGCTTGTAGTGGTCAGTTGCCTTCTTTTGGCTGGCTCCAGGGCTCGCGACGAAAGGGGGTGTTGAGTGGTGCACGGACCAAAGGCGGGGTCATGACGCCCCGTTAGCGTGGTCAATCAATGATCGCTTCTTCTGCACTGGCACGGTGAACGTTCCTCACACTTCGACGACTTCACGCATTCAGCTCCACGGAGGGCGGGCTAAGAAAGCACAAATTACATCTATCATTCGCTGCGGATCCCAACCATTGCAGCTGTAATGCGTATGGACCTTATCCAATATTCACCACCACCACCATCAGGCTGCATACAACAACAGGCAGCCGCTATGAGCCCTCAAATATGCATGCGCATGGCTGATGCAGATTGCATACGATCTTTCACTGGTCCGGTCAGATTTGAGCCTCAAGCCGTATAGCAACGAAGCTATGCTGCGCGTTCACGCAAGAGGGCGGGGTTATTTGCCTGTTTGTCCCCCTCAGCCTGGTGGCTTAGACCGGTGAGAGCCTTGATATCACCCTCAAGTGGGGCTTGCGAGTGCCCTTCGATACGACCAATCAACGCTTGTTTCATGTATACCCCCCGGGGAAACGACTGGATGTGGGTGTTGTGCTCCGAGAGGGACCACAACCTCGCTTGCATCAACAAAGTGTTACTACTGCTCCAGGCAAATATCAAGAGCTACAAGCTTGCAGTATGACAAGAAATTTCCCAATCTATATCTTCGGTCAACGTCCTCCTGTTTCTGCCTTAGACTTCTTAGTTCGCCCTGTCATTCACTTCCCGTGTCTTCATCATATTGCTCTGCCTTTCTCGATCATCGGCCAAGTCTTCAGTCACTTGAGCATCTAGCCATCGGCTATACCTCCTTCGTTGAACATCTACCTCCTATAGCCTTCGCGAACCATTCAATGGCGACTCCGCAGCAGGCACAGTACCAGGGTCAGGTACCCCATTCACATCAGAATGTCAGCCAACCACGACAAGTCCCAAATGGTCAGCAGAGCTCTGGACAACAGCAGAACTTTGGACAGACCCAGCAGAGGCCAGCTCAGCCCCAACAGCAACCTCTAAACCCATACGCCAACTACGATCCCCAATTGGCTTCCTTCATCTTAGAGAAGCCAAGGAACGCCACTTCCTGGGAGGATGCCACACCTGAGCAACAACACGTCGCACTCCAGGAACTCCACAGCGAACTGCACAAGTTTCGTCGAAACCATAATAACGTCAAGAAGGCCATGAACGAGATCCCTTCCCCAAACTGTCGCCGAATCATCAACGAGCTCGTTGAGGACCAGAACGTTGAGCTTGCGAGATACAATAGAACCATCCAATACAGAATTGCAAGCGTTGTAAACAAATGGCGTTCGGTCAACCGTCGAGAAAGGCAGCTAGTGCGTGTAGACATCATTCTGGAGACTGAGCCTTCCGGGTTTCAAGAGCCTATGCAAGCGAGACCTGTCGGAGGAGGAGCGAGCAATGGGCCCCAAGATGCAAACAAGAACAAGCAATCAGGAAACTCGCAAGGTCAACAATTCCCGAACCCGTCTAACAACCCCGGCCAAAACATGCCACAGCAACAAAGACCTCCCCAACAGCAGCAACATCAACATCCTGGCCCGCAAAACTTCGGACAGCATCCTCCAAACCCGGGCCACATGAACCCAATGCCAGGTCCTGGAGGTCCTCCTCCTCCACCCCCGCCTCCGGGGATGCCTGCACCACACGACATAGGTCGTCCACCACCCCCGCCGCATGGTGGAGCGGGCCAACCCATGCCGGGCGCGCCCGTGCAGCTTCCTCTGCCTCCTCATGGCCAGCCCCATGGCCCGCCCTTTGGTCAAATGCCAATGCCTGGTGCCTTTCCAGACCAGATGCACATTCCGCCAGTGGGCATGAGGCACGTCCCAGGCCTGAATCCTGATCACTTCAGACATCAGAAGAAAAACCATAGGGTTCGTCGCGATGTTTCTGGCTCATCGTCCGACAGTGACTCCTGGGAGTCTGAGTCGGAAGATTCCAGCTTTGTCAACATTGAACATGATCACTTAGATGTTGATCGACGTGGACGAGGACGTCAGCGGCCCGGCAAGAGATCGAAGAAGACTCAGAGACATCGATCACTCAGCAAAGCTAGAGCCCTCAGCCGTAGTCGTAGCCGAAGCCGTGCACGCAAGAACAACGTCGATCCATATGTCGCAAAAACCACCCGTCGACACCGGGCTTCAGACATAATTGATGATCAACGCAATGGGAGGCATAGCCCAGAGTCCTTCACTACCGACTCTTCTCGGTCTTCTCACAACAAAGTGCCGCCTGTTCATATCCACTTGAGCACCAACAATATTGTGGAAGACCGAACACGTTCCGGCAATGCCTCCCCGGTTGGCCTCTCCAACGAGAAGAAGAAGAGATCCGGAAAGTACTACTCCTCGCACGGCATGGCTAGGGAGACCTCCAACTCATCGTCAGAGCGTGGAAGCGGCACAGAGTCTATGAACACTACATCCGCCCACACAGCAGATGACGGTATCTTTGACGCTCCTATACGCCGCCGCCCTTCTTTCACGCACGTTCATCGTCGCCAGAAAGTCTCTTACGGAAGAAGGTCACCCAACCCATTCGGCCAGCCGCACCCCAGCCACATCTACGACGAAGATGTTGACCACCGTCGGGTACAGAAGGTCAGATACCACAAGGAGACAGTAGACGACTACCCACAACCCCGCAGCCCACGCACGCACATGCACGAGCCTGAGTCGTACTTCGATGACTACCCAGTCCACACTACTCGTCCAAGCCTGCCAAATCGTCGCGCAACCATGGCTAACCCACCCACCATGCATAATCCGTTTGCGCAGTCGCACTTCCCACCCAAGCCAGTGCGCGCCTCATCATACCTCGCGGATAGACACGAGCCAGGCTACAGCTACCCTCAACCGCGTGCGCTCGCCGATCGAGACGAGCCGGATGACCGATTTGGGCTGAGTGATCTCCATGCGGCTCTTGAACATATGCAGGACAAGAAAGAGCGATCTGCCAGACGCTCGAACATGATGGGCAGGAGGGACTCGGCCTTCCAGTATGAAGATGATGAGTGGCATGCTAGGGTGCCGTTGGGTGGGCGACGTGGAGGTTATGGTGGGTATTAGGTGATACGCATGTTCTTTCTTTCTCGCTTCTCTTCTCGATACCTTATCGTCCTTATGAGTGTGTCGGTCTTTCGGCGATACGTTATGGCAGGTGTACTGCTTCTACTCAACTCTTCGCGTGGGACTTTCTTGGTCTAGGGTACAACATCACAGCGTCACCAGTCTATCGGTTTTGGGTAGGTATCTTGGATATACTATCTCAATCTACATCGCATACCGGCATTGGTTACATTCTCTTCAGCATGACAATTTGATACCGAGTGAACCAAGTCCACTAGCCCTGATCCAGCTAGGAAGGTGTAAGCACCTTTCTTAGCTCTCTTCAATCTCAGCATGGATGCTGCTATCCTTCATAATACACTCACCATACACGGCGAGTAATGACTCAAGATTAGTCTTTGCATAAAAGTGATTTTCAACGAGAAGACCACTTCGAGCATAATACGCTGCTTCTTTGTACTTTCCCTGCACGAAGTTGTTGTCCGCGAGCATATTGTATCTGGATGGGACACATTAGCATGACATGAAGAGTACGATCGGGCCCGAATACTTACGCAGATGATAGCAACCAGTCGCGTACGCCCAGTTCGTGCAGTAGATCGACGTAAATGCGAAGCTTTACGCAGGATATTTAACCTTCCACATTACTATAGGTATAGCACAAAGTTCGCTCCGACGCGTCCGGCTCGAGCGCAGGCGCACATGCTTTGCAACTGCAGTCGAAGCCCCATCCTAGCATCAGTGCTGCTTGGCGAGCATCCCTGCTCTTTTCCCAATCTTCCGCGATGTAATTGATCAGGATCTCTTCACCAGCGTTAATCTGTCGTGTAGCAACTAGTCGGGCATAACCTTTAAGATCTGCGCCATTCTCGTCGATGTAAAGTACTGCATTGGGGACGCACGAATGGTTGGCGAAGGATATCGTGCGGTAGACAACTAGGCGGGTGTGCTGGATACCTACACCGGTATAATCACGGAAGTTGAAAGCGTTATACCGACAACGATCTACAAGGTGCTCGACGTCTGTAGCCCTGGTCTTCGAAGTATAGAGCTTGTGGAAGGCTTCCCGATCTTGCCAGCTTAGCTGTGTGTATGCGGTCGTCAAAAGTGCAGTAGTTCTGTTGACTTCTTCGTCGTAGAAAGCGATGACTTCTCTATGCTGCTCCTCGGGCTGCTTGCGTGTGTCGCATTGGAAAAATGCGTTCTCGTCGAGAATGAGAGCGCCTTTCTTGAAGTTTTGCTGTGCCACAAGGCCATTCCCCGCAACAACGTTGGCATCAGTGACGCGTACCTGAGGATGATTTGCTGCCATGTTTATCGTGTGGTTGATGACTTTTGTCCTTATGGGTGATGTGGGAAGTCTATCAACGGACGTCGGATCGACCCTTATATCCCGTCAGCTGGGGCAGTTTGCTGATCTGGAAGCATAAACAGGAGTCTGGTTTGAGAAAGAATCATCGACACGCTCATTGTTCAGGAAGAAATACAACGATTGATCATATGCAAACACTACATAGGTAGGATCGAAAAAGGACCCATGGCCCCCTTGTTGTACTCCTCACGCAGCCTTTCGTCCTCCTGATGACACTGTCCTAGTATGTCGTTCAGCTGCTGATTCCAAGTAGCAATGAAGAAGTTCTTCTCGACGAGCGATCCTGCCATGGCAGCTTGTTTTGCCTGCGCGTAGTGTTTCTTTCCGAAGTAGAGTCGTGCGAGTTCTAGACATCTGTTCAATAGTCATTAGTGGTGTAGACATGAAGAGTAAGTGGGTTGACCTACGCGTTGGACAGCTCTGCATCCCACCTGCCCAAAGAAGTAAGAACGTTGATGTAGCCCGACAGGTTCATGATGCTGTGAGTCTTCTGCTCCTCAGTCATTACCGCTGTCATGGCAGTGATGTTGGTCTTGTATTCGCGGACTAGATTGCGCGACATCGTATCCATAGCGGTAAACGGATGAGTACACCCGTTGCACGAACACGTGAATCCCCAGTGATGGTTCAGTACAGCGTTTCGAGCTACATGGTTACCGAGCCAGTCGCGTTCCATGTAATTTACGAAGATCTCGGCTCCGTCTGGGATTGCTCTAGTTGCTACAAGCCTTGCCTGGCCTTCCGGAAACACCGTGCGGCGAGGCCATATTTCGATGGTAGCGTTTGGAACACAAGAGTGGTTGATGGAGCTGATGTCTTCATACACTACCAGGTGTGTTTTGTTATTGCTGGCATTCACAAAGGTGAATGCGTTGCGTTCGAAACGATCGACGTATCGATCGAGTGTAGAACCATGGGGTGGCCGGGGCCAGAGCGTACGTAGTGTTTTTCGCTGCTCTAATGTAAGATCGTTCACAGCTGCATAGATGACAGAAGTTGCATGTATTCGTTGAGCAGCATAGAAAGTGTCGACGGTATTCTGGTCGGACCACTGATTTTCAGTACTACCGGTGTTGCATAAGACAATGGGGTCTTCCGTGAGTATGAGGTCGCCCCGTCCAAGTGATCGATTCGCAAATAAACCGCGCCCTCCAAGTGGGCTGTTCTGGGTTTGATAGTTCATTTGGAGCTGCTGATGAGGTAGTGTCCGTTTCTGGCTGTGAAGCTCTACCTTCTGCTTGTGAATGCTGCATTATATGTGCTGAGCACCGAGACAATTCCATTGTTAGCAAGCAACTTTGTGTTAGACTCCATGTAAGACATGAAAGTGAGATCAAGACACATGTTCGAGAGCAGATGAAGTGACGATAACTACTAGGCAGCTCATCTGGTTTGCGCGACACCGCAGCGGCAGTGGCCACGCAAAGGCTGGTGTATTTTGTGAGCGAAGTCCAGATCTAACGATCCGCGGGTCATTTCGTATATCAGAGTCAGTTGTGTGATAGCGGTCTCAGGCTCCGCGGTGGTGCTTCAGGCTCAGCAAAACAAGCACGTCATGCACGCGTCCTCACATCGCTTGCTCGCCCGCTTGTACCTGCCAAGCCATCAGGGGCGCCATGTGGGGTATCTCCACTCACGCGCGCCTCCAACGCTCACTAGCATCCATTCACAAAGCCATCCATCGACATCACCCAAAAAAGCAAGCCCCCATCGCGCGCATCAGCTGCTCACTTTCTACCCTCTAGCCTGCCGAAATCCAATCCATAGATTCACCGCGCCAGTCTCGCGGCAATAGGACTAGGCGCCACTAACTTTCGGGCTCGCAGCCATGTAGACACGAGAACACGAGCCCCCATCCGAAACACGTCTAGCCCCACGGAGATGACCAGACCTCTGGGCACGCTGACTGGGCGGCCATCATTGGGCGGGTTGCGGGAGAGTATTGGTATGCTTGTTCTTTACGAGATCCTTCTCTTTAGGGGCGGAGGGCCAGAACAGGCTGACGGGGGCAGGGTGGAGTGAATGGGGATTAAAAGTCCCTGAGAACCAGTTTTCTGGTCCTACGTGATGCGCGCGCGTGCTGGGCTTCACTTTCCATCGCGGTCGTAGTCGTCGGTCGATCCTTACTTTTTGACTCTTTCGCTCTTTCCTAATACATTTTTATTATCTTCGTCACTACACGTTCGAGGTTCCGCCAGCATCACTATTGAGTTTCACGACTGCCGACTGCCGTTACTAGTGCATCACAACGCGACAAGTTGGGTAGCAAGAAAGAAAGTATGAAGGTGGTCGTTGCCTTGTTTGGCCTGGTGGTCGCCGCGCTTGCGCAAGATGCCTCAACCTCAAGCTGTAAGTTTGGTCGACGGCAATAGTTTTGCATGTAGTATGCCTGGAATCTCAACTCTAATCAAGCATCCGATGTAGATACCGGCCCAATGTTCGACCCGGACACGGCGCCTTTCTTTGGCCCTAGCACCATCGTCTATCCCTCCGTCACCGAGTCCGCTCCGGTACTTTCAAACTTACCGACTCTCACACCTTCCGCCAGCACAGTCATGATCTCCATGTCTAGCAGCGCTATGGCCAACTCGACGCTCTCAACTTCAACGCTGTCGCGCAACTCTACAACCTCGCATACCTCGACACATTCGTCCACACACTCGTCTACATCGGTCAGGACTTCGCGCACGGCGACTCCTACAGCGGATGAGACTTCGGCAAGTGCGTCGGTCCCGGCCGAGACGGGTGCAGGTATCGCGAACTACCCTGAGGCATTTGGAGCTATTGTGGGAGGTCTTTTAGCTGGATTAGCGATGCTGTAGCAGGTTTAATATCTTTTTAGTAGAGAACATGCGACTGAAAAATATATGCAGTATGCCATGAAAGCCGGTCGCGCAGAGGTCTAGCGAAGTTTAAGACCAACATAATAGGGTATATTGTGATGTGCTCGTGGGTTGACTCGAGCTTTCCGTCAAAGTCATCTAGCATACTTTTCCCTGGTCAAACCGAACGCCTAGGAAACGCCGTCATAATGCAACTGAACTAAGCTGATCTCGCTTGCTCTTACTCCTCCATAGCTCCAACCTCTGTAACCTGCTCAGTCGCCTTGGTGTAGTAGGCCTTGAGATCGATCTTGAAGTCTGCCATGGCCACACCGAACATCTTCAGCAGCGCTGTCTGATGGCTGTTCATAACCTTGCCCTCCTCTGCGATGGTGTATGGCGCATCCAGAATAATCTTGCCCTTGTCGAGCCTCGTTGGCATGCCCCATTTCCTGATGGTAGTCTCCATGCTGTGCGGCAGCGGCACGTCCTCCTCTTCGGGAATCTCTCCGCCTCTTGAGTGGACTACACCAGCGGGTACTGTGAAGGTCTGTGTAGCGACAACACCGGCGCGCGCAAAGTCGGTTTGCGAGTAGTTGGCAAAGTACTCAATGACCTCGCTGGGCTCGCGGCTGGTGAAAAAGAGTCCGACATTGCCGTTGAGGTGCTTGGTGAGCTCGGAGAGGTTCGAGAGGTGCTCTTCTGCCGGGGATAGGCCAAGCGCTTTCGCCATGACTTTGGTCTTTCCGAAGAAGAATCTGCGCATTCGTTAGCCATGCGCGCATTGTATGGAAGCGCTCCCGCGGACATACCGGCTGTCTGCGAACTCCTGGCGGACCTCCTTCAGGTACGAGTTGCGCATGTTCTCTACGGCGAAGACGAAGATGTGCTCAAAGTTATCCGCCGCTTCCTGGACATTGGCAAAGAGCTTCAAAGACAGCTCCTTGCCCTTCTTGTCCGTCTTGGTAAGATGCACGACCTTCTGGCGCTTGGATTTGGGCATGGTGGCGGTATTTCGGGGGTGTTGTGGTTGGTGGTTGCGCTCAGGAAAAAGTTCGAAGTTGCGGTCGCGACTTCCAAAAAATTGAGCGGGGATTTTGGCGAACCCCCGATTGGTGCAACCGCGGCTGCTCCGCTGTGGATCCAGATGTCGCTCTCGCACTCTCCAGAGTCTACGCACTCAACCTCACCCCAGTCCGCTCGAGATGATCAATCGATAACAGAGCGATGTTGGATTTCATGGATAGCGTGCAGCATGCATTCTACGAGGCATCGGGCTGGAACGTCGACAATTCCTATGGCGCACTGAACGCGTCGGCACGAGGTACGTCACACTGGATGTCGCGTTCTAGATTGAATACTGACTTGAGGTGACAGCATTGCTCGACTTTGACATACCCCGTGGGCTGCGCATGCAAATCTCGTCCCTCGCCGCCCCCAATTTCGCAACATCGTACACCTTAGGCAGTGTGGGGGTAGTCGACGGCTCAGTATCCTACCTGTACTCGTCGCTGCCACTACGGAAGGACTTTAGGACGTCCCACATCGACCTCCACAACGTGATACGAGGCTACAAGTATGTCCAAGAGTTGCGGAGACCGGACGAGAAGTGGTCGTGGGAGGTTTGGCATGCTGGCCGCCGGATAGACCGCAAGAGTGAGCTGGATGACACTGCCTTCCCGTACCCCCGCTGAGTCGAGACAGACACCCTGTTGTATGGGCGCATATTCCTACCACAGCAGAGGCTCGAAGCCCTGTACCTCCGCCGCCTCACTCCTACGCGACAGCTGAGGATCGCCGCCGTGAGCGACTCCAATCTCAACAACGGCGGGACGATCCTGACGCTACTGCAAAATGACTTCGGCAAATACAGCACGGAATACATGTACAGCACAGACTCGGCGTTGATGGGCGTCCGGGGTCTTTACAATTTTGGTCCAGGCCCCAGAGTTGCGCCCGCAGAACCCGTTGCTGCAGAGCAGGTGGATCCTGTGCATGGCCGCTTCAGCGCAGGCGCAGAGCTGTACTATGGCATACTCAACAAGAGCGGGGGAATCAGCACAGGGGTGAGGTTCGCCACCCTACCCAACCATGCGGGCTTCCCGTATACCATGACGC